TTTAAGTAGTCTGCCCGAGGTTCCACACTAGCTGCCATGCCTGCAACCCAACTAGGGGATTACCTATTTAAACTCTCATATTCACTATATACTTAGTACACAGTATCTAGTTATCATTAAAAAAAAACACTTAGGACTTCTACAAACAGCCAGTCTTATTCAACACTCGGGGCAGGCTGGACGTGATCAAAAAGATGCAAATTGTGTTATTCTTTATGCGGAAAAGGATATTTGCACTAATTACACTATTATCACGGGAGATAGAGAAAGGTATAATTATTATTGTTATTTTCCTTTTTTTCTTTTTTTGTATTACAAGTCTCATCAATTATATCAATGTAGTGATGAAAATAACGATGAAAAAACCCTTGATCGAGAAATATACCTAGCTAAAACACAACACGAATTATTTGAAGTAAGGTATTATTGTCTTACCTTATATGAGTGCCGATTTCAACTAGTGTCACGATATCATGCATGGCCAAACGATCCAATCCCACCAGAGTGTAAGTTATGTGACAACTGTATAAGGCGCAGAGATGACAAAGTGACGCTCTTCAATGCACTGTTAGATATTTTGGAATTGTTGAGGATTATTATGGTATTATGCGAAAATAATACTAAACAAATCACACCCTTAGATATTGTTGAGGTTTTTGGTTGTTCAAAAGGTGCTCAACTTCAGGGTAGAGGGTTAAATTTGCTAGATCTTCTTGATCGCGAAAAGCCTAATATTTTAAACACAAGAGCGTTAGCTGATCTGGCGTTGGCTGATTTGGTTTGTCGAAACTTTGTAAAACAGAAAATTTGGTTGGAACGAAAAACTAATAGGAATTATTTGACGTCTAGTGTATTCATAGAGGGTGTGAAAGAAAATGCGGATTCACTCGTAAAAGATGAATCTTGGTTGTACTGGAAATAATTGTAAATTTTTTACTTGCTACAGTGTTATCGTTAATAAAGAAATTCAAGTGTCGTTAATAAAAAAAATTGAAACTTGTTCAACTTGTTCAAGTGTATTTCGAATATTACTATCGTAACTGGGTAATTAACATAGAAATTTCTTGAATCACATGGATGATCGATTTTCATATATGTTACACAAAAAAATTTTGTACATGGGTTCATATGAAAAATGATCTACGTTCACCCTACCCTTAAGATGAAAAAAAAAAAATAATCGCGAAATAACGCGCAAGGGTGTAATTTCGAAATTTGGCCAGAATCAAGCTTAATTCGGGCAAAATTCAAAATAACGCGTTATTTCGCGAAAATACGGTAATACAATTTTATGCTTTTTTTAAACATTGATATATAGCATACTGTATATATATATAATTTAATGTCAAACAAAAACTTAGAAAAGAAATAAAAAAATTGAAGTCTAAAATTAAATATTTATTATTTCACGGATCACTAATTACAAAATTCATGATTTAAATTTAGAAATTTGTATAAAATATTTATTCTAACTTTTTACTGACATGAAATTTCAGTATTAGTAGGTATATTTTGATTCAAATTAAATAAATTATTAGGATCGTATTTTTGTTTCATTTTTACTAATTTTCCAAAATTCTCAGCATAGTATCGGCATTGCCAATTATCTAATTCTCTATCAATATGCGTTTGATAACTTTCAAAACTAGCATAATTTTTTCGGAAGATTCGAGAAAAAATTTTAAAATCTTTTAGACAGATTTCATAATTATCCTTATCTAAGGTTGCTTCCATTATCATCCAATACATAGAATCTCTGTGAACAAATGCCGTTTCTTTTCGTCCAATTTCGTTTTCTTTTCCACCACCAGTTAACAATGTTACCATCGAAATGCTACACTTGAAATTTTTCATAAATTTCATTACATACTCAACACCTTCATAAGATAGTCCTGGTGAGTCAATATAAAAACTCTTAGATTTAGTGACGACCCTATCCGGAAGATTTGTTAGAAAAAATCTATTATACCAATCTCCTTCAACATATGATACATTTTTAGGTTTAGTCAATTCAATAAATTTTTGTACGTGAGGTTTTGCTTCATTTAAAGAGCCTAGATAATACCCGTAAATTTTGTGAGTATCATTTACATGTTTGAACTCTAAAGATAAATTTTGATGAAAATTGTTCCCTAATTTATTCATCACTGAGTATACTAATTGAATCTGATCAAAATCATAAGTAAAAACCATACTAGTTACGATCTTCTGTATAGGATAAATCTTAAGAGTTAAAGCAGTAACAATACCATAGCCTGCATTTCCAGCACCCCGAAGAGCCCAGAAAAGATCAGAATATTTTTTAGCATGGTTAACTATTGTTCCGTTTGCTAAAACAATTTGAGCATCAAGAATATTATCGGATGACATTCCAAATTTTCGCATAGTAGTACCAACTCCCTAAAAAAAAAAAAAAACTCTTATTATTGACTTATAACTTACAACTTACGTGTGAAAAAATATATAATAAAATTTTTCAAACAATACAGTACTTACACCACCTAAAATAATGCCGCCAACACCAATTGTAGGACATTCACCACTTGGAAAAGCAAATACATGCTCATTCAAACTATAATATAACGTATTCAGAGTATTTCCTGTTTCAATTTTAGCAGTTTGTGTGGTCACATCTATCATAATCTTACTCATGTACCTAAGGTCAATAATTAAAGCACAATCTTTATCTCCAATACTATAACTTTCATCAGAATGACCACCTGATCTTGCAATAACGGTAAAATTTAACTTTGCACCACAATTAACAGCAATTTGAACATCAAATACATCTATCGGATGGACAAATGCTACCGGATAATGAATTTCTCGTGCATTAAATTCAAATAAAAGATCATTTTTATAGGCAAAATCTTTACGATAATTAGTATGACCTTTAATATAAATATCGAGACAGTTTTGAAGTGAGTCTTCTCCTGGACATTTATAATTTGGAATATATAAAGAAGCGTGAACAACTAAAGTAAAAAAAACTATACTGTACAAATAACAAATCATTGTTTTTACTGTTGCCGAACTGAGGTTTATAATAGTAAAGGTGTATATTAAAAATGAACTAGACAAAGACAAAACTATAAGTTTTATATTTGTAAATTTGCGTGTAAATGCCCAATATTTATATAAAAAATCTGGACCGAAAAGACTATGATTTATGACTCCTCGACGGGGTTTGTTAATTGCGATTTAACAAGTTAGGTTCTCTGCAAGTTTTAAAAATTATATTTTTACCAGAGTATTGTTTACTGGAGAGTATTTTGGACAAACAATAGTCGTTTTATATCAATCGTAACGACAGGGATGGTAAGTGACCTGATGACTCAAATGACAAATGACTAGTCATTGGTCATTTCGAATGCCTAAATGACTGAGAAGGTCATTTAACATACGTTAATTTGTGTTCTAACAATTTTTAATCAATAAAATTGGTTACAAGATAAATGCAAATTTTTATATGATAAAGCACAATTAATAATCGTAACTCTTTTAAAATTCAAAATTTATTAAACTAGTCAATATTTATGCCTTAAGCTTCAAAAGAACAAATTGTATACTCCAAAAGTTTTATGTAATATCGAATAACTTTTTTATTAATTCAATTTCGCATTTATGAAAGATAAAGGATTTTTTTATTTAAATGGAAATGCGGAGGTGAATCAATAGTTATTCAAATTGCATGAAACTTTTAGAGTATTCCGAAACTTACCGTAAATAACGACAAGCTTGGTAATACTGTACGATTATTGACTAGAAAACCACCTTTTTAGTTATCAAACTACGTAATAAAATTATTTTATGCACAAATGACTCAATGACCTCATTGACCCAAATGACAGGTCATTATTTGATGACTTTGAGTCATTTAAATTTTGATCAAACAAGTCATTTACCATTCCTGCGTAACGGAACAGGAGGTACCGTCGATATTACACGACTGAACCTTCACTCGGTGTGCAACATATAAAAAAATACCAGATCATTCCGCTAGTGCGTACGTCCATTCCTGCGTAACGGAACAGGAGGAACCGTCGATATTACACGAATGAACCTTCACTCGATGTGCAACATATAAAAAAATTAATTTACAATACCAGATCATTCCGCTAGTACGTACGTACATAATCCCACACCATTTTATTATAATGAAAATGGTGTGGGATTATAACTATAACATGTACTAGCGGAATGATCTGATATCGTAAATTAATTTTTTTATACGTAGTTTTGATAATAACGAATGTTGGAGTTAATAAAACACGTGATATAACGTATCTGATTATGCAGTTAATATTTATGAAAGAACAATAAGACAATTCCAGTTGGATTATTGTTAGATGAATTAAGGATAATTAGGGGCAGGAGTTAACAATTACAGCCGGGATGGATCAGGATTAGAGTGTCCAGACTAGGATCGGTGATTTTATGTGGCAATAAACTATCAATTATGCATGCAACAAAAGTAAATTATGCGCATATGTTTTTTCTTAATTATACGTATATTATGCAACAAAAAAATATAATTATGCTCAATTATTTGGTGATTCTGCAATTTAATGTAGTTTGATTATTGGGCAACCCTGTTTTTTTTTTTTAATTTTTAATTAGGAGCTTGAGTTGCTTAAAGAGATAAATGTACTATATCTGATATTGTATTATATTTAGTGCAAAGACTTCACGTTGTGATTAGGCTCCATAACTGCAATAGCAATACAAGGACTTCATATTTTGTTTGGCTTTATGGCTGCTACAGGCAATGCAAGAACCTCATGTTTGGTGATTGGGCTCCACAAATATAATAGCAGTACAAGGACCTTATGTTGTGATTAAGCTCTATGGCTGTCACGAGCAGTGAAGAACCTCATGTTTGGTAATTAAGCTCCACAACTATAATAGCAGTACAAGGACTTTACGTTGTGATTAGGCTCCATGGCCATGATAGTAATGCAAGGACATCATATTGTGATTAGGCTTTATGGCTGCCGCAGGCAATGCAAGAACCTCATTTTTGGTGATTAAGCACCGCAACTACGATAACAGTGTAAGGACTTTACATAGGCTCTGTGGCTGCGATAGCAATGCAAGGACCTCATGTTGTGTTTAGGTTCTAAGGCTATCGCAGGAATATAAGAACATCATTTTTGGTAATTAAGTATCGCAACTACGATAGTGGTGCAAGAACCTCATGTTATGGTTAGGCTTCATAGTTGCTATAGTATAAATTAATCAAAATTCAACTAAATAGAAACCAACAATAACGATTTTCATACTTATTGAATATGATTAGATGTATTGAATAGTTACAAAAAGCTTTTTTATATAAAAGAAATTTATATAATCTACCTTAATCTATACCTTATTTTTTTAAAAAAATAAAGCTAATAATAACGCGTTCCTGCTAAATCCCATGTAATATTGTTCATGCATACTTTATTTACAATTTCTGTTATATCTACAATTTACAAATTAGAAGAAAATGGAAACCTATAAAATACAGAATAATTAACGAAGTACAAAGTGAAAATTTTTATTTAAAGAGATTCTACAAGTGTACGTACGTACAATACAGCGATAAGTAAACAGAAGTCCATCTGATAGAATTTAAATGGTGTAGATCACTGTAACTAGCTCACTAATAACTGCACACATTCAAAATGTGCTATAAAAAAGAAAATGCTATGTAAATATTATAAGGTTTAGGATTAACTAATATGACACATAAGCGATAAACATAAAGTTTGTTAATAAATGGACTCGGTAAATAAATGAGCATGATAATTGAATCCTGACCTCAAAATGAAACCTTTCCCAAACTACCATATTTCATTGGGGTATTTTATATATTAAATATTTAAGTCTATATGAGGTATCATAATAAAATTTAATAGTACAGATTTTTTA